TCTCACTCTGTTTTTCCAGATGTTTGTGGTGGCTTTGTCCTTTGCCTATTTTGCAAAGGCTCTGTCGGGGAGCTACATGAAAAGCACAATAACTCAGCTGGAGAGGCGCTTTGACATCCCCAGTTACCTAATAGGTGTCATTGACGGGAGCTTTGAGATAGGTGAGTAGGCCTGCCAGTTACTCCTGTCATTCTGTTGCCCTGTTTATAGCCTGTGTGTCATGGGCTCCCCTCCCTTCCGTCTCTCTGTCTTTGGGATGGAAATATGAATGGGTCAAAGAGATATTCAAGTTGCAGATAAAGGATTCATCAGGCTTGCAGGAAGAGGACAGGGGAGTGTTTGTGTACCTCAGTGTGTGGTGAGTCATGGTGTTGATCAGGGACATAACAGGTTTTGAGCTGTTCTTCCGCTGTGGACAGCTGGACTCTAGAATTTGTAAGGTTTTGTTATAGTACATCTCTAAACCATTTGTTTAATCTCAGCTATCCACCAGTCATTTATAAGAGAATCAGCTGGCAGTTACCAGCTGTTACCTGACGGCTACAAACAGACAAAACCTTTAGGCTATAACAAAATAATTTGTTGTGCAACAGAAATTCCCCATCTCTGTTTATAAAATGTCACAAAATTGTTTTGTGGATATTATAATGTTGTTATGCTGCTAAAACACACCAGCTGTAGTTACAACAATCTAAACATCAAAATATGTATAGTTAAGGGGGAAATATGCAGATTTTCAAGTACTGTGGTGTACTGCTGCATATGTGAAAAACGTTTTACAAAGCCTTGTGTGGCTCCAGAAAAATACAATATGGGGACTCTGATAAATTGCCTCAGTTAAATGCAATTTGAGGCAGTGTTGGCTGTGTTAACATACCAGACCTCTGTGGCCCACTGCGCATCTCAAGGCTACATTAGTCAATACTAACATAGCAAACCTAAATCTCTGACTGAACTATTGGCAGTGTAGTTGCATTGTGGGAAGTCTAGGCACCAGGTTTTGACAAGGAAGAAGAGGGCAGTGCAAAATACGACTTGGATGTAGAAGATCTGAACTAGCTTTGTCAGGAAGGACTTTGAATTTGATGATGAGACATCAGTGATAACAAACACTGCACAATACACAGTTTTTTAAATTGATTGTTCTTTTTCTCTTTCAAAATAATTTTAGCTGTTTTGGTACCGCTTGACCTGTGGTTTGTACCATTAGCTAAAGCCTGAGTAACAATACTGGTATTCTGATATTACCTAGAATAAAAAAACTAAAACCACAGATTTCATTTGTATGGAGGTGCCTGGCAGCACTGCTGTACACATACCATGACTATGCTACAGACTTGTAACCTGTGATTCAAAGGTGAGGTATTTGTGATGACATTCAACAAAATATGTTCCCGGATTGTCCCCTGTCCAGTTTCTAGGTCAGTTGTGTAAGGCTACTCCATTCAGCTGAAGTGTCTCTCTCTAAATCAGACCCAAAGAGACCTGATGATAAAAGTCGGCATCTCTCATGTCTTTTACTGTTAGGGAGGCAGTTTGAATTGAGGTGAGCACAGTAGTAGTGAATAATAATGAACATTTTCTTCAGTAACATTACGGAGCAGCGTGCAAACAGCTAATACTCTGATGGGGGAAGGAGTGGGTCTGCCTGTGGAAAAGGTGAGGATGACACCTCCAGCACAGGCAAAGCTGAATACCCTGGACCTCTCTCCCTCCATATCTCCATCTCATTGTCTCCCGTAAAAGCTGCTTCTCTTGTGTGGCCTAGGCAACAAGCTTTTTGCTATAAGAGCGTTGCCAGGGCAACAAAAAGGCAGAGCAGGGCAGTGTGTCGAGGAGAGAGAAAAGGAAAGTGCAAGAAACAAGTGAAGGGAACTGAACACAGGGGAGACAAAGGGAGTGAAACAGGGAGAGGAAGGGGAGCAGAAAGTGAGAGTAACAGATGCTGATTTTGACAGAGATCACATCAGCTGGATTAGCTCAGCTGATTCAGCCCAGCTGATGCATATTTATACTTGTACATATGCTGCATGAATCTTTCTTTGTATGTTCCAGGATTTATTTACAGCTTTTTTTTTTTTTTTACTGAAAAATATATGTATGTATGTATGTATCTATTATAGATAATAAATATCATAATGTCTAATGTAATATTTAATAATACAACATTTTGAAGCAAGAGTTTGATTATTTAACTTTATGAAATCTAAAGTTGTGATTTTTTTTGACTCTGCTTCCTTCCTCCCAGGTAACCTGCTGGTCATAGCTTTTGTCAGTTACTTTGGGGCCAAACTCCATCGGCCAAAAATCATCGCACTGGGTTGTGTAATAATGTCCATTGGCACCTTCATCATTGCTCTGCCTCACTTCATCATTGGAAGGTGAGAGGAGCCAATAACAACTGAAACAGATGTGAAACCACCTTGTAAAAAAACAGAATAAACAAACTTGCTATAGGTTTAGTCAGAAATTGGGGCTCTTGTTTCCATGTGCCTTTCATTCCTTTAGAAGCTGTGCCAAACAATAATGAACCAAATCACAGCTACAGGAATCATCATCCTGTGGTGTATCACAACATGAGTATCATAAGATGAAGCATCAAAAATACATTTGTTCCAGGAGATTTTTATCAGAACAGCAGGAAAACTTCTCATATCTCATGTCAATTTGCATTTGACAACTTATGCATATAGTCTGAGTTAACATACACAGCTTCCAACATTATTTTTCCATAATACTTGTACCTAATGACACTAACTGCCCTGGAGGTGTCACCTTTTTCCACCAGGAATTCACTGTTACTCCAAGTTATTTATTAAATCCACTTCCAGGAAAACTCACAAATTGTGTTCTGTAACCAAGTGAAATAATTTTATTTCTGTGATATTTTTTTAAAGTTTCAATTGTGCTTTGTGTACAGCTATAAATTTGAAACATCTGTGCGGTGGGTAGTGAACTCAACACTTAACCCCTCTCCATGTCAGGTGGGCTCACCAACAAACCTGACCCAAGATGGTAAACTACCTGAATTGCCAGTCACAGGTGAGTGTTTACACACACACACACACACACACACACACACACACACACACACACACACTAATGTAAACAAGTAAAGACGTTCAATTACACTCATCTTTATCTCTAGGCTGTGAAGGCGAATCCAATCTGTCACTGTGGATTTATGTGCTTCTGGGAAATGTCCTGCGGGGGATTGGAGAGACACCAGTTCAGCCTCTTGGAATTTCTTATATAGATGATTTTGCTACTGAAGAGAATGCTGCACTGTATGTGGGTAAGAAAGTTATCACCCAGTGGTAGATGTAAAATTAAAATGCAAACAAACAACTAGACTCCTGAATTGGCGCATCAGTTCTACTGTTCTCATCCTTATCCAGCTTTATTGCTCCTTAAATGAAGTTATGTTTTGACAGGGGGGGGAAACACTTATTCACACAGGGCTTTGTAGTTTTGGATTTTGTTTTCCCTTAATAATAAAAACCTTCATTTAAAAACTGCATGATGTGTTTACTTGTGTTATCGTTGACTAATATTTAAATTTGTTTGATGATCTGAAACATTACAGTGTGACAAACATGCAAAAAGATAAGAAATCAGTAAGGGGGCAAATACTTTTTCACACCACTGTAACAGTTTTAATAAGGTAAGACCAGGTTGCCACTGTTTACAATGTTCAGTAGATATTACAGGTAAGTCCAAACAATTATAGTCATAGCAATAAGTACTTTATATGGTTTGTAGCCATTTTGTTTTGGGCTCATCTTCGATTTAATCAGGGAAGCCTGTGCATCAGATTTACAAACAGCGATCAAACTGCTATGTGTGTTGTGATCTGCAGCTCCGTAAATCTTCAGTTTGTTCTGTTCATCCTTGTGTGGCACCAAGCCAGGGCCAGCAGGCAGTTCAGCTGGCTCCTGGTGCTCCTTGCCAATCAGTCTGCACCAAAGCTTTAGGTTGAAAGAGTCCAGTCAAATTGTAGAGCTAAACTAACATTGGAGCCCAAACAGGCTCTTTTTAATTCAAGACAAAGGCCACTATAGTCGATAAAATAATACAGAAGAGTGTAAGTCTTCAACATGCATTAATCCATAACTCTACATCACATCCTAACCCAGCTTAATTATTGTTGTGATTATGCTAGGTAACAATTGATGAAAGCAAGGTTATTGCTGCTGTTCACAGATTAAAGCAAAAATGAGCTTTTTGGTGGTGAACATCCAAGTCTCAAATGCACCCGGCAACCAAAACACTTAAATATTATAATTTCATGGCAAAGGAGCTTTAAGAAAGTAGGCATGTGGTATGCTTATTGTATAAAACAATAATTAAAAGTTGAAAAGTTGGGCCTTGGTTAATACATAAAGTAGCAAACCCAGTATTACCATACTTGCTGAAAACTGCAACAGTGGTGTTTTGCTCAAACAGGAGCAAAGTAGTAAATAATTTTATTGAACAGTAGCATGCTTACATGGCAAGTGTTTCCCAAACAAAGTGTGATTTCTAACAGATTTGTAGTATAGAGCAATATCTATTTAAGATATGGGGTAAAATATCTGTGTTGCTCAGTATCTCAGATTTTTAATCTAGACGTCCTAAGATAAGGTTTTTTAACCAGTTTGTGTGTTATCTGTTTATCATATCCCAGGTTGTGTACAGACTATTTCAGTGGTCGGCCCTGTGTTTGGCTACCTATTAGGCTCCCTTTGTGCCAGAATCTACGTGGACATTGGATTCGTAAAAATGGGTGAGTATTTCAAACCCAGAACCTTTTTGCTGTGAGCAGACAGCACTAATCACTGTTCATCATGCCGCCTGCGCACTGACAACATAAAGAAAAAAAAATCCGGCACTAGTGGCAACAGCAGGGCTGACCAATAATTTTGGAGGACATTTGTTGTTTTCCTGAAATCTGTAAGTAGTAGTCAGGCAGTGTTCGTTGTGTTTTGGAGGAGTGGCTTTACAGAGAAGTCGGAATGAAAGGGTTGGATTTCTTAGGTTGTCTGCTTTCAAAACTGAGCTTCCTCTTGCTGGTTTTTCCAGGATCGGCCAACCCTACCTTTAAAGGGTCATGATTCAGAGACTGCAGTTAAATAAACGAAGCCACCATTAATGCTCTTTTGTGCTTTTCCTGCCATTACAGGTCAAAATGTCTGCTCATTCCTAAAACTGAGGCATGATGTTATCAAACACAACTACGAGTGAATCACAGTCAGTGTGAGCACAGTTCAAAGACAGACCAGGTGTACAGGATTAGCATCAATAAGTCAATGGCTGAAGCCAGATAAGGGAGAGGGACAAAACCCTCTGATAGGCTACAATCAGAGAGCAACAGATGGGAGATAAAAGGAGGGGCTGAGCAGAGAGAGAAAAAGAGAAATGGGGGAAAATGTCAAGGAAGGCAGCTAGTAACAAGTAACAACATGATAAAAGTAGGGAGAGTAACCGAAATAAGGTGAACAGCTGACGTATAGAACTGAATTTCATTCGGGTGCTCTGTCTAAAAAAGATTGCTGTTGCCACTTTTATGGGATGCTCACTCAGACATGAAGCAGAAATGTTCCGTTAATGGAACGATGCATGTGTCTGCAAGGTAGCTAGAGTGTACAAAAGGCTCTAGGAAGCCTGAATGACATGCTCAAAAACTATATTTCACTGTAAAACCGCTCCTCTGAGCCATCTGTGTTAAACCATATGTGACCCTGTTTTACATAAGCAATGAGCACCACATGAGCATTGATTACCTCTCACCCTCTGTACCCTCAACACAGAAACCATCACCATCACCCCAGCAGATGCCCGCTGGGTGGGGGCCTGGTGGTTGGGCTACCTCATAGCTGGTGTCATCACCCTACTCTGTGCCATCCCTTTCTGGTTTCTGCCCCGTTCCCTACCCCGGGGCCCAGAGAAGTGCACACCAGAGCAGACAAGTTTTATTAAGGGGTCTCCCCTTCTGAAGCACAAGTATCCAGCAGATGAACATACTAGTTTTATAGAGATGGCCAAAGGTAAGAATGGATTTTCAGCTGGAAACCTGCACTCTGGTGGCATTCAGAAATATTGTTTATTATTGTTTACAACTTTATAGCCTCTACACTGTATGCAGAAATGAATGGGGTGTAGAATGAAATGGCTAAAAACGACACAAATTCCACCATGTTCCACTCGGAACATCTAATTAATCTACAGACAGAAATGTATTTCATCATAACATCACATTTCATACACAGGCCCTTTAAAGTTCAGATTTGTGGGAACTGCAGTCTTAACACTGCATACATTTACCATCTCAAAGGTGTCCTGTGGAGTATTTGCAAACAAAAGTTATGTTCACTAATATTTATTTATCTGAGATTTTCAGTTTTTTTTTTATTTTACACAAATGCCATACTAAAAATACTCAGTTACAAGTAAAGGTCCTGCATTCACATATTTAACATTTTCAGACGAGTGTTTTTCAGCTCATATTTGTATCTCTCTACAGACTTTATTCCAACCCTCCGAACTCTGCTTGGACACCCTGTCTATCTGATCTACCTGTGTGTGACAATCATCCAGCTGAACTCTCTCATTGGCATGGTCACCTACAAGCCCAAGTACATTGAGCAGCACTTCAGGCAGTCTGCTGCAAAGGCCAACTTTCTGATGGGTACTGCACACTTGACATGAATATTGCATTTAAATCGCGTATTACAATCTGGTGACTCAACAAACAGCAGGCCCTGGGAAGACTTGTCTGTTCGTTTGACACTGTATATGCCTGTTTATCTCAAATTAATTCTAGTGTCAACTAATAAACTATAAAAATTACTGTAATATGTTTATATTTCCAAATTTATGGGGTTTCTTACTATAAAATTTCTCTCCAGTCAGCATTTTCCCTCATTTAGTTTATGGTATTTTTGCTGGATGAGGCAGAAACAGACGTTTAGAGAGAGGAGAACTGTGTTGGCTATATGTTCTCTTCAGTTGCAGAGATGGGAGCTTTATGAATATGAAGAGTGGAAATAATATGAAATAAAATATCTAATGATTCTGATCACACTAGATGAAACTATATAGGCCCATGTAGTCTTATGGAGGAAGGTGCCTGCACTGGCTTGATATGAAAGAGAATGCAGTATTAGTGACCAGAGATAATAACATGCGTATAAATAAAAGACCATATCTTCACACTGATGTTAAAAGAAGGCATATGAGAGGACACTCAAAAATAAAAAGCAGGGCTCTTTTGATCAAGATGACTTGAACTTGTGCAGTCTTAGTTCTTCTCTGAAAGTGTCTCAGTAGTTGACTTGCATAAAGTATTGGCACGTGTCACAAAGATGATAGCTGAGCTTTGATAAAATATTAAATCTTATGCGTTTTATTGTGGCTCTTAATCTTAGGTGTTATCAATATCCCAGCCGTGGCACTGGGGATGTTTTCTGGAGGTCTGCTGATGAAGAGGCTGAAGCTGAACATCATGGGAGCAGCCAGGTTTGCCTTTGGCACGTCTCTGATCGGTTACATCCTGTCACTGTTCTTCTTCGCAGTGAGCTGCGAGAATGCCAAGGTGGCCGGGGTGACACTGTCATACAACAGGTGAGTCATAAATAATCACATGCTCTGTTGGGGTTAATGAGTCCTGACTGTTGTTTGTAATGTAGATGAATACAAAAATGTATGAGATAATGAGGATGAAGACTTATATCTAGGCAAAACTCACACCAAATGGGCATACATTTCCATGGGGGCCACACCTAAAAGAACAGCATGAGAAGTGTCAACAGAACAAGCAAGAACATGCAGACCAGCCAGAAATATTACAGACCACCAAAAACACCCTCGTCTGTATGTGCCCAATTCACCACTGAGTTTAAGGTTCATCAGCAGACACAAGTGAAGTGACACTGCTAACAAAACAGATTAAAAGCAACCAGATGGGTGCACAGCTCCAATTAAGCTACACTGAATGTGGTGAAGCACTGCTTGTGGTTAATAAAATATTTACTTTGCTAACGCTCATTAACTTCCATTTATTTTACTGAATGACTCCTGTCTGCTCTCTTACTCACCCCACCCTGCCGATAAACATGTTTAAAGTAAATGCTAACTCAGAACCAGTGTTGTAGTACTTGAGTCCTGGACTTTGACTTGAGTCGGACTTGTGATTCGACTTGGACTTGAGCACTGACGACTTGGTCTTGGACTCGAGCATTGACTGCATTCGAACTCGGAAGTTGGAGACTCGCACTCGAGCTTTTTTGTAATAGTCTATAATAATTTGACTTAAGATATTGATTTTAAAACCTGTTCACCCACACCGTGCTGTGTCCGGCACACTTTGCCTTTCTATAAAAGTTTTTTATGTATCACGCTGCCGAGCAATATGGTCACGTGATACACTAGGAAGTTTGTAATAAAGAAGGGTGAGAGCTGTGTCAATTGTATTTGATGTAGATGACTCTGACTCACGTAACGGGGGACTTAGCTTGGACTGGACTCGGGCTCAACTCGAACTTCACTGTAATTATTCTTTGGCGACTCAGAATTGACTTGAACACTGCGGACTTGAGACTCGACTCAGACTTGAGTTTTAGTGACTTGACTACAACAATGTAATAAGTTTGGCTACAGCATTTCTCTAAGGTATTTTAAGATATGGCATTTAGAAGAGAAAGAAACATTAGCATTAAAACAGTACAGCTTTTCCCCCCAGTAAATGCATTAAAATGTCAGAATTTCTGCTGGTAATGTTGCATAGCAAATATAAAATTATGTAAATACAACTATAACATCATTTAATATACACTAGTGACAATGAGAATTGCCTCTCATTTCTACTTTTTTCTCATTTTCTTCCTTCTAGCATAGATACAATATCTTTTGATAAACACTCAGTGTTTACAGCCTGCAATTCATACTGTTCTTGTTCAGCGAGTGACTGGGACCCAGTGTGTGGAGAGAACGGCATCACATACGTTTCTCCCTGTCTCGCTGGCTGCACCAGTTCTGTCGGCTCAGGGAAAAACACAGTAAGTTGACAAGGTACTGAAACAATAAGAAATATGACACATAGTCAAGTAATTCACAGTAGTTAATACTCTAATATGTAGGTTCTGGGTGGTTCTCCATATAATGAAACTTTGTTTAGTTGAATACGCTGTTGTTGCCATAGAGGTCTGTTAATGTTACTGTATGATCCAGTGGCCAACTTTCCAAAACGAGTTTATGTAACAGGAACAATCTGTTTTCACACAGGAAAAAACTGCTGCACTTTTCTGAGTCATTTCATTTTCTAGTAGTTGTAAATTGTGTAGGTGCTATCAGAGGATCCACATCAGGCATTTGTGGTTTCACTATTTGAATCACTGAAAAAAAAATCTCAGGTAGAAATTCAGTGATCTGGAACCAGGCTACAATGGGCTATACTGTACATTGTTGGCTTTTTTTTAAATTCATTATTGGTGTTGGCACAACAGAGCATATTCTTGAAAGCAAATTTTATGATTGATTTTAGTGATAATCATCTATGTCTCATCCTTTTGAGGGCAGAATGAAACAAGGAGTTAGTGCAGATGCTGTATAGCGGATATCTACTGTATCACAGATGAACATGACAACCACGATGTCATGGCAGCAGCTCATCAGCCTACCTTAGAGGGCAACGTGTAGAGTTGTTACATATACCATGAATGCTGCAAACAAGTTTCTCAGTAGTGTCTCATCTCCTTTGAGTTTTCTTCTGGATTTCGGGGTTGCTGCGAATATTTCAAGGCTTTGGGAATCTCTGTGGAATCTTAATTGTTTATTGTGCAACATTTAATCTGTAATTTTATTACATGTCAGTATGTAGGATGCACCTGTCTGACTAAATAAGAAGAAAGACATGAAATACTAAAAACTCCTGCACCACACCCATTGCCACTCATATATTCATATATAGTTTGTTTTGATGTGTGTGTCTGTGTCTTCATGACATGGTCACGTGTGTGTGTGTGTGTGTGTGTGTGTGTGTGTGACTGCATGTCTCTCCAGGTCTTCTCTAACTGTAGCTGTGTCGGTGTGGCTGGTAACCTTACAGCCAGAACAGGTCAGTGCCCTCACAGGGACGACTGTGACAGGATGTTCCCATACTTCCTGGCTCTCGCTGTCATCACTTCCTTTATCATCTCCCTCGGGGGGACACCAGGCTACATGCTTCTCATCAGGTCAGATTACAGTCAAAAAACTATAAAGTGATTTCACCATCACGTACATCTTTGTTCACTCTGGGATATTGTTATTCCTTTCACTCCTGATTTACTGATACGATTTTAATGTAAAACTTATGATGCCTTGAACAGAGATGTATACTGTGATTGTGCTTGAGAAGGTGAGGTAGCTGAAGTAGTCACAGTAGATATGAGTGGGTTCTTTGTTACTTGCTAGGATGGGGTAGCTGATGGTGACTTAGCTGTTGGTTAGTGGGTTGAGCAGCATGCTGGCTTGACATAGAGTTATCTGGTTGTATTGCATTAGCATGCTGCTGATACTGAACTGAATTTAACTTGTTACAGAGGACTGAGTTGGGTCTGTGGGTGCAGATAAAGACAGGGTGGTGGTTCTAGGAGGACACTGTTGTGCCTTCTTGGTGTTGTGAGCCGGCTCAACCCCATTTTAGAAGGTGCCTCCCTGATGACCCTGTAGACTTGCGTGATTCATTCTGACACCACATTAGCTTAGTTGGTAGGACAGGCCAAAGGCCATAATTCATTCAGAGGGGTCACTGTAGTGGTTGCTGGTAAGATTAGTGGAGTCATACAGTGATGTGGGTAGACAACTGAGTGGGCCTGGCTCTCTGATGAAACTGCCAGTTGGGCCAGTGTAGCTTAACCTGACTGGGTCATGCGGCCAATTATCTGCCCATTGCTTAGGTGAGGACTTTAAAGGTACACTAGGTCAGAGGGGGGTAATTTATAAAGATGGGTGAATGAGGCTGAAGTTCAGAGACGTTTCACTTCTGTGAAGATCACTGTTTCAACACACCGTGTCAGTCAATGCAGAATGTCATGTAGCTGATGTTTGAAGCTTCATGTGTCACTGGCACATCAGAAGGCGCTTCATTCAGTTTGACAGTTTGGAAAGGTTTGCAGCTGAGCTACAGTATGTGGCAAGCACATTAGTAGAATAAGATGATATGGCACTGCACACTAAAGACATAATCATGAGAAACTTTCACCTGATACAGAGTAGGACTGTAATGAAACTGATAGGTTAAGATGACTACCATTCTCCACGGCCCCAGTCTTGAAGAGCTGCCTCAAGTTTTGCACACCACCAGGTCTCACTGTGCTTGCTGTCTTTGAGGCCCTGGAGCTTTAAATCATTCCATCAAGCCCCTAAAGCTTAGCTTAATAAGCAAATACTGTGTAGGTTGCCTATAAGGCTGGGTCAGGCTGCTGAGTATTTACTCTTTACTTGTGAGGCTAGGAGGTAAAAGCTTCTTAAAGGTTTGTTAGGTCTAGTCAGAGGTAAAGAATGTTGTTGCCCAACATGGGGACCAGCAGATTTATGATGGCATGGCCTGATACCTACTAGTGATAGGTTGAAACATTTCATCTGAAGCCTGCATAGGAATACTCAGCTAACATTTGGCACATTTAACTGACACTAGGCATGTAGGTGATTTGGACTCCCAACCTGTGTGAGGCCATGCTGATTTAAGAAGCTCCTTTCTAGCCAAAAAATGTTGCTAACTGACTTTTCAGTTGTAATATGACCCAAATTTCTGGCAGTGTTTGCAGATTATTAAATGAGAGCCCTTTAGTGACATGTTTAAATTCAATAAAACTTTAAATATTATATTTATTTGTATTCATATACTTAGAAAATCATTACTCTTAAGATTTTCTTCTTTCTTATTTTCCCGGAAATAAGCCTGATCTGTTTATTTCCAGGAATGTTTTTATTTAGCTTCCTTAGGATCAAAGCATTCAAAGACAATGATTTAAGCCATTTATAGCTGACCTACTGTTATTGGCAGTAGCTGTGTTTATGCATGTCTGTGTCACATGTACTGTATAAACAGTGGCTTTGTCAAACAAACTGTAAAAATAGTCATTTCCAGCTATGTGATTTCTTATGGTATGGTCAGTTGAGACTCACTTAAATCCTCGAAGGCTGATCTCTGATCTTTTGCTGCAGAGCTGACTGCTAAGGGAAAAACATCTACTGCTGCCTTGTTGACTTGCTGATCTTATAGTGAGAGCACATTTTCATTCTTTCACTTCCCACAAACAAAGCACACCTTGTTAAATTGTGATTAGCAGATCTCCTGCACAAACCCTAATACATTATCAAAGTAATATGTCACAAAAAGAGACTGTTGCAGAATGCACATTTCTTGAAGCTGAATCGTGCGGTTGTGTTGTGAATGACAAAAACTGATGCCTGATGTTGAAACGGTGAACCCATCCTTTGTTCATTTACCATAAAGAATGACCCCTCTGATACAGAAGTAAATGGGTTGTGACAGTTAGTGCTGCATCTCTCCCACTCATTTTTCTCAAGGGGACTATGAGACAGTTGGATAATCTCCTGTAACTGCACCGGTAAAGAGTCAGTGAAAGGAACTGCCAGATTAGTTGGCAATTTTTTGTGATATGTAGTGTGGTTCAGTGCTTAGGCCTCAAAAGCCCTGAGATTTGGGCAGAAGTGATGGAGGCATATTCTCACACTTGCCAGAAATGGGTTGTTCTGTAGTGTTTTGGATCCAATTAAATGTATGTTTCTCATTGACATTTCTTTCTTTCGGAGGCGACAGTGGTGCGGTGGGTAGAACAGTCGTCTCCCAACCAGAAGGTTGAAGGTTTGAATCTCGGTACCTGCAGTCCACATGTTGAAGTGTCCTTGGGCAAGACCCCCC